CACTGCATTGTAATACGCGAGCCTCAGTTTACATCCTTTTTTTTTGCGTTGTCTCATAGTTTGTTTCAAAATTTAGCAGATCCCGAAATCCAGTGCTGTTACATTGCCAAACTCAAGCCTCATCTGTTCATGTGATTTTCTTGCAGCTATGGTGAATGTGGTAAAAGATGCTCAAATGAGGGGCGCGCTTTGATGCAGCTCGATTTCCAGCAGTTGCTTGTCAAATTGGAGCAAATCGTTGAATTTTCACCTATTCCACACAGGGCATATGTAGAGAACTACATCAAAGCCTATTATCTGCCTGAAAGCTCAATGGAAACATGGATACAGCAGCACAGTGTAAGGGAGGATGTTTGCTCTGTGAATGGAAATTGCGAATTTTTTTAGAAAAAATTTCATTATTTTGAAGTTGTAACGAGTTGAACATAAGAAGAGTGCTGCCTCTGCTAGTCTTTCCAGGTTATCTATCGTTTTTCGCTACTTCTGAGTGATCGTGCTGTTATAAAGAGTACGCTTTGGAAATGGTTTTGGAGTGGAGTGTAGAACTGTGGGTAAGAAAGATCGGAGGGGCTCAAACGTAATCAAGCAAAGAACTCTAGGACTGGAGAAGCTAAGAAGGAAAAAGTTGGACGATAGTGATTGGAATTTAGTTGAAATGTGAACAAAAAAACGTGGAATAGATATGGATGGGAAAAGGAGTGACAAGTTTGCCGATGAAATTTCTAACTTCACAGATGGTGCAGCCAATCTCCCAGTGATGAAATATATGATAAAAGTTTCAACATACCTGGCATATTTTGAAGTAGGACCGATTCCAGCAAGCTTCTCTTAGTTCCCTTGTCTGTAGAGTTAGCAAAATAGTTGCTTTGAGCAATGCTGCGCCGTTTTTGTAGGTTAAAAAATAACTCTTGAAAAGATTGCTTCTGTTTGTTACTGAGTGGATTTTATCACGATCGCAAGCCTGTTTTTTTGTTATCGTTTGTTCTCGAATTGCTTTTTCCAGGAATACACAACGAATCAGATAGTTACACTGCTCAATGTGGCAACGCATGTTTCGAAGAAAGCGCGAACACGGATTATCAATGCCCTCGATGATTAGCGAACCGGCACTTGCGCCGTGCATATCATCTCAAATACTGTTACAATTTTTCTTGCATTTCTTAGGGAACGTGCTGAGATTCCAACTAATTATGCTAATCGGCACTCTTTTCTCGTATTGTTGGATGAGTCTTGCTCGCGGGCCCTGCGGTTTTGCCCTTTTCTACTTATCAAGGCAAAGGTGGCATGTTCTGTAGCCGCTGCTTGCAAATCTGCATTTTGGAGCGTTTTGGACGAGCATTTTGGGGCAGAAGTTTTACTTCGATGAACTACAAATGCATAAGGGAGGGTTGCATTTACAGCGGTACTTCGGGTAGCAGTAATACCCGGACAGACGAACACACATACACACACAAACACACATACAAACGCACACACAGACAGGGTCGTCACAGTATGCGTTTTTGCAATTTAGCAAAAACGCATAATAAAAGAGGATTGCATTTATAACGGTACTTCGGGTATCAGTAATTGTCTTTGAAGCGGAATCGGCTACCGCTTTGCTGTTCTGGGGATTTTCCTCATATCGCAGTAAACAGTCCTTTTTTTTGTGGTGGGTACTTCCTTTCCGGGTTTGGCTGGCTCTTTTCTCCTTCTCCGGACGCTGCCACACTGAATGCCTAAGCTGTGGGGGGAATGGTTTCCTCGATTGCGATGTTTGTTCCTTCGGCTGTATCATCAAAAAATTCATCGCCT